TTAGTTAAAACTATATGTTGTCTGCTATATACTTTTAAATATTCTAACCAAAAAATGTGAGAAGAGCTAGATGAAACAAGAATATTAGGATGTTGACTATTGGTAAAATTAAGACCTGAGTACATGAGATCATTTTGCTACTTTCTCTAATTTTGTGACTATGTGAAAAATTTCCTGATATCAAGTTTAAAAAAAAAAGTGGAGAGATTACTGTGTCTCAAAAGTACAAGACAGGTTTGCCTGGATTACCCTTATTCTGGTACAAGGAGCCTGACTACCTGGATTACCCTTATTCTGATACAAGGAGCCTGACTGGAAGCTTACAGTTCTTCAACTACAGGCAGAACCAGGCAGAGCCATCTCTGGCAGACAGTCAGAACTCGGCTCTTTCGTTCTGGTACTTTCTCTGCCTGTGGCTGGTGCTAGGAGGCAAGGCCAAGCAAGTGGCATTCTAGTCTGAGAAGTATCATCAATCCCTATTTCTGACCTCAGCTCAAACCTGCATCTTCTAGCTCAATTAACCCAGAACTCTTTACTTTGGAAAATAAAATTGACCCTTTGAATTCAATTTAGCTTGGATCTTTGTGATTATGTTCCATTGGCAGAACCCTGGAGGGCAGAGTGTCACTTGCACCTAACCCGCAACTGCATAGAGAAGGTCAGGTAATAGAACGACAGAAGAGCTGAATCAAGGGTAGGTATTCTGAGGATAATAGAAAATTATGCATGCCCCCAAGCTAAGGTCAATTATCCAGGGTAATAAAAATGTTAAAAATTTGAAAAAGTAGGATTAAGCACTGGCACAAGGTCCCTAAGAGAGCAAAACAGGAACCATAGATAAAGAGAACACTTTGTATCAAAAAGAGAGATTTCTTTTTCTGTACATTGGTGGGAAGAGGAAAAGGATTACAGAAACTGCAGCAAGTTGAGAACGACATGAAGGAAGGAAGTAGCTTTTCTCTGCGTGAGAAATCTTCTGGTCACACTTCATTCTTCTTCTTCTTCTTTTTTTTTTTGAAGAGGTTTTTGCCCTAGGGTGCTGCACTCACCAGAAAGAGACAGAAAGACAGAAAGTGAGAAATCACCCCCCAGGGAGGGATGACCATGCTGCAATCCTTTCTCCTCCATTCTCCTCTCGGGATCTTGGGCACACACCCACACATGCCAGGCATGAGTTTAAGCCATGAAGTTTGGGACTCGAACTACGATCGACTACATGGGAGCCCAGTGACAGTCATTACTCCAACTGCTGGTCCCCATTATTTTAATTTTTTTTAATTATTTCTTTACTTGTTCCATGGGCAAGAGAGACTGTATTCCCCAGAGGGTCTTGACAATGCAATCCACTCCTAGCTTCAGCCATTCCCAAATTGTGGGCAAAATTGCCCAGTGGATCAAAACAATAAGCAACTGATAAAACTGGACAGAAAACTACGAAGGCAAAGGCAGATGGAGAAATTTATGATAGAAAGATTGGATGTTATACCTGAATCCCCTTTTCATCTGTTTAGGGCAGTCAGAAACTATACACCTCTGAGATGTATTAGTATTCCTATAAAAAGAAAATAAAAAGGAGTGAGGGAGGATTTGAGGGAAACAGGGAAGGAAGACTGAGTGACACAGGAAAGGAAGGAGGGGAAAAAAATCTACATCTATTCTAACTTTTAGCTCTACTTTCTGAATTGTGGCAAATATGAGGAGTTGAAGAAACATGATAAATAAAATGGAATTAAAACAACCAAACTCAGTGTGGAAAATTCTACAGCATAAGTGACTTGATACCTTCAGTAATTTAATGACAGTATATAAAGGGAAGGGAAACTCAAATAAGTTAAAAGAAATTTAAGGAACATATCAATCAAATGTAACAGATGGAACTTGCTGGATCCTGATTTTAGAAAAAAAAAAACTTTAGAAAACACATTCTTTAGGCAAAGGAAGTAAATTATTATATATTAGTATTAGACAATAATATTAGGAAATCTTTTTTATTTTGTTTTGCTTATGTATGTTTTAAAAGAGGTCACACTGTTAAAGAGCTTTAGTTAAAACTATATGTTGTCTGCTATATACTTTTAAATATTCTAACCAAAAAATGTGAGAAGAGCTAGATGAAACAAGAATATTAGGATGTTGACTATTGGTAAAATTAAGACCTGAGTACATGAGATCATTTTGCTACTTTCTCTAATTTTGTGACTATGTGAAAAATTTCCTGATATCAAGTTTAAAAAAAAAAGTGGAGAGATTACTGTGTCTCAAAAGTACAAGACAGGTTTGCCTGGATTACCCTTATTCTGGTACAAGGAGCCTGACTACCTGGATTACCCTTATTCTGATACAAGGAGCCTGACTGGAAGCTTACAGTTCTTCAACTACAGGCAGAACCAGGCAGAGCCATCTCTGGCAGACAGTCAGAACTCGGCTCTTTCGTTCTGGTACTTTCTCTGCCTGTGGCTGGTGCTAGGAGGCAAGGCCAAGCAAGTGGCATTCTAGTCTGAGAAGTATCATCAATCCCTATTTCTGACCTCAGCTCAAACCTGCATCTTCTAGCTCAATTAACCCAGAACTCTTTATTTTGGAAAATAAAATTGACCCTTTGAATTCAATTTAGCTTGGATCTTTGTGATTATGTTCCATTGGCAGAACCCTGGAGGGCAGAGTGTCACTTGCACCTAACCCGCAACTGCATAGAGAAGGTCAGGTAATAGAACGACAGAAGAGCTGAATCAAGGGTAGGTATTCTGAGGATAATAGAAAATTATGCATGCCCCCAAGCTAAGGTCAATTATCCAGGGTAATAAAAATGTTAAAAATTTGAAAAAGTAGGATTAAGCACTGGCACAAGGTCCCTAAGAGAGCAAAACAGGAACCATAGATAAAGAGAACACTTTGTATCAAAAAGAGAGATTTCTTTTTCTGTACATTGGTGGGAAGAGGAAAAGGATTACAGAAACTGCAGCAAGTTGAGAACGACATGAAGGAAGGAAGTAGCTTTTCTCTGCGTGAGAAATCTTCTGGTCACACTTCATTCTTCTTCTTCTTCTTTTTTTTTTTGAAGAGGTTTTTGCCCTAGGGTGCTGCACTCACCAGAAAGAGACAGAAAGACAGAAAGTGAGAAATCACCCCCCAGGGAGGGATGACCATGCTGCAATCCTTTCTCCTCCATTCTCCTCTCGGGATCTTGGGCACACACCCACACATGCCAGGCATGAGTTTAAGCCATGAAGTTTGGGACTCGAACTACGATCGACTACATGGGAGCCCAGTGACAGTCATTACTCCAACTGCTGGTCCCCATTATTTTAATTTTTTTTAATTATTTCTTTACTTGTTCCATGGGCAAGAGAGACTGTATTCCCCAGAGGGTCTTGACAATGCAATCCACTCCTAGCTTCAGCCATTCCCAAATTGTGGGCATGTGCATGCCTGATATATTCAAGAGAGGGCTCCAGATGTTAACCAAGAACCTTCCCATGTGGTTCAGCCTCCTTGTATTTCACCACTGTGTCAGTGTCCATTAAGTGGCTGCCCTTAACTGATAGCCTAGAGGCTGGGCTGGGTATTAGTGAGCAGAAAGAGAAAATCTACAGAGATACTCAGGTTCCAGGTGAACCTCTGAAAGCTACTCCATGCTGTGCAGCTAACCCAGATGGACAAGTTGGAGGTTCTCTAGTTAAATAGCTCATTCCATGTTTTGTAAAACAAACAAACAAACAAAAAACCTACAGAGGGACCAGCAGATGGCATAATGGCTATGTCGCTGGACTCCCATGTAGTTGACCATGGTTCAAGTCTTGGACCTGGTGGCTTAAACTCAGGCTGGGTGCATGTACATGCATGCCCAAGATCCTGAGAGGAGAGTGGAGGAGGAGGGTGAGGGGGTGATTTCTTGCTTTCTGTTTTCCTGGTAAGCACATGCACCCTATAGCAAAAACCTCTCACCAAAAAAAAAATAAAAAAATAAATAGATAAATAAATAAATAAAGAAAAAAAAAAAAAAACAGCAGAAGGTGGCTCAGAAGTTAGTGGCTAGATTGGGGGCCGTAATTCAGAAAAGTTCATGTTCAGAGCCATCAGCTTCCCTCTTTATTCTTCCTCCTGCTTGTCAGAGGTCCTTGATGAATATCTCATGTAGGTCTAAGTCAGAGAGATTCGTCTAGAAGAACCTGAAAGTCATCAAGAATGTCTATGGTACCTTTTCCTCTGTTTAAGTCATGTATTCCTACCTTATTCTATAGCTGATTTCTCCTTTTTTTAATAGTTATGTATTTATTCATTCATTTATTTTAATTTGACGAGAGAGAGAAAGTGAGAAAGTAAGCCACCAAGTCTGGGACTCAAACCATGGTCAGCCATGTGGGAGTGTCCAGCACCTTAACCACCATGCCACCTGCTGGTTCCCACTATAACTGATTCTTAAACTTACTTTTGTTCTCTAATCATGGAGAAAATGTTTCTCCTAGTAGTGTTAAAGTCACTTTTTCACAGAAAAATATAACCAACCTCTTCTGTGATTTAAAATAAGTTTATTAGTTGAATCAACACATTTACTAGGGTTTTAAATAACTAGATTAGGCATTTTCTCAAATATTTACACTTACTGATAATTAAGCACACACACAATTCAAAAATAGCTTTAGTTGCTTCAAAAGATATATTTTCATTATAGTCACAAAAGAGAAAGATATTTAAAGATAATTAGTGTCTCTCAGAATATTTTCCCACAGAAATAAAAACAATGTTAGATTTCATTAACGCCTCATAACTACATGTTTGAAAGTATTTCTGCTTCTCAACATTTTCCTCTTTCTCCAGGACATGTTGATCATTACTAGTACAACTTGGTAATTTTTATAAATTCTTCAACTTTTAAAATGATCCACAACAATGAAGTCTTAATATCTCAAATATCTTACAGGTACTAATTTCAGCTATTTACACTGACATTCTTGAATTATTTCAAATGTATCTTACTGGCTTGCTTTAACCTACAGACCTGACTAATACCTAGTTTAATAATCTCAAAAGCAAAGTTGGACGGAAAAAAGTTGCAAAGATGTGAGATGTCAAAAATAAATACTGAGAAAGATACAAATAATGCTTTGAATAGTCTAGTGGTTCAATACAAATGGGTCCCAGGGTATGAAAACATGTAAAACTAGGGGTGAAAAGACTGGTTTCCTTCTATCCAATTAGTTTATAATTCCGTGTCTGAATACATCACAGATATGCATGCATCCTATTCTTATATTTATGTAAGACAGGATCTCAATAAATAGATTGCAAAGAACCCCTACCAGCCCTGCCCTGGCTGTTGGACATAATTATGTGGATATGCAATAGTTACTGGGAGTTCCACTGAGGGAGATATTCTGCACTTCTTAGAAGTTATAGATAATGTATGAGAAGGCTTCCACTTTGGCTTGGGTAAATGAAGTATTTCAAGGGTTGTAAGAATAACTGATTTTTTTGGCTTGCTCGAGGCTCCCACTAGCTTTGCATCTCACTAATGAGCAGACGGCCTGCTGAAAGTTGTTGCTGACCACCACATAGAGCAACAGGTTACCAAAGGTGTTCAGAGCAGCTAATGGTCTCGAAACGATGTAAGCTTCATGGATCTGATTCTCGATGGAGCAGCTGATTGAAAGCAGACGAGATTCAATCCGAATGACCCTCAAGATATGGAAAGGTAAAAAGCATATATAAAATATGAGGAGTAGAAGAATGGTGAGCCTTCGTGCTTTCTGCTTCAGGCAGCTGTGTTTCTGAGGTCCCTGGGTTAGGGTGTAGATAATCGTTGTATAGCAAAGTGTCACTATCACCAAGGGGAGGCAGAAAGTGGTTGCTGTCAAAATCAGATTGTACCACTTGATAGTAGTGAGGTCATCTGAACTAGTGAGGTCAAGACAGGCGGATCTATTGGTCTTGGTGGTTGATGTGATTAAGAAGGTCATAGGAATGACAGCCACCAGGGAAATGACCCACACCACAGCACAGGCTACCACTGCACAGTGAGTTTTGTGAATGGAAAAACAGCTCATTGGGTGAATGATCACAAAGTAGCGGAAGATGCTGAAACAGGTGAGGAAGAGGATGCTGCTGTACAGATTAAAATGGAAGCCGAAACGGATAAACTTGCACATGAAGTCCCCGAAGATCCAGTTTTCGCCACTGGCGTAGTAGTGAATCAGGAATGGGAGGCTGGTGAGATATAGCAGGTCTGTGCAGGCCAGGTTCAACATAATGATGGTGCTGCTTTTCCAGGGCCTCATTTTGAAAATGTAAGTGGAAATTGCTACTGCATTCCCTGGAAAACCCACAAGGAAGATGATGCTGTAAATGACAGGGAGGTAGTACATCTTGAGTGGGATTTTCTCATCAGTGCAATTTCCAAAAGCAGCTGCATAATCAGGAAAATCAGAAACATTCGTTAGGTCATCTGATGGCTCGTTCATGGTGGCCTCTTTTCATCCTGTAAGAAAACAAGAGAGTTTGGTTTGGCAATATGAATCCAATGAGAAGTGACTCACTGATAAAGGAAACTAGAAAGCATTGGTGGTAGGGTAATGAAAACCATGAACTACTTTTAAATGAAAATTGCTCTAACAACTTAAATTCGACACTTCTTCTTCTTTAATCTCAAAAGAGACCCTGTGGAGAAGATATTGAAGTTCTAAGAAAATGACTGTGAGGCAAATTACTAAAGACATCTAATAAAAATATAAACATAAAATTACCATAAGAATTAAAATGAAGAATTGAATAGGGGGAAAAAAAAGCCACGTATAGCTGTGGAAAACAATTTAGCAGGGTTGCTATTTGGGCAAGCCATAGGGTGTCACCATTAGACACTTAACAAAATAAGACCAACCATTAAGAAAGTGCCATGCTCACTGCTACCCCATTACTTCTACACTACACAGAATTCTGAAACGTATTTCTTAATGTCTCTATTCTACAGAAAATACTAAGATGAGAGAGGCTTTGCAACTTGTCCCTGATACATACACACACACACACACACACACACACACACACACATATATATATATACACACATAAATATATGCACACATACACACACATACATATATATAAACTTCTTTTATACATTCAATCACTATACATCACTTAGCTTGTTAACATATCAAGTGACTTAGAGAAGATTCAAACTCATGCTTGTCCAGCTTAGGAGACATTCTCTTTCTATCTTACCCTTTCTGTGCTGGCTCTTGATCTCATTTTATTAATTTTTCACTAGAATTACCCTAAATAATTGACAGAACAAAAAGTATAAGGACATAAAAGGACTGAAAGCCACAGATTTTTAAAATGTAGATTTCATGCATTGTAACATTGCCTGTATGGTAGATTTTATTTCACATTTCATCTCTTCCAATTCATTTTACCAGCCAACATACTTCGTTTGAGTAGGTGTGTGAGTTTGGGGGGGCAAAAGAGGATTGGCAATATAAAATAGCAGTTAAGAGCGTGGGCTCTGAAGCCAGATGGCTAGTTCTTGATGCTCAGTTTAGTCATTTAGGAGTTCTATGTGGCTAAGCAAGTTGCTTAAACTCTCTAGGGTTAGGAGGAGCGTGATTTTAACTTCCTTCTAGCTTATCAGTGTTTGCTAAAATTTTGACAGTGAATTTCTGCAAAGAGGAAAGCACAACAGTTATTTAATAGAAGTTACTTATAATTAGCTTATTATTTGGATGTAAATAGCTGTTGGTAAAATGCATCCATTTTCATATCTATGAAGTGACTACTGTGTATTAATTAGGCATTCTTCCAGGTCCTAGAGATGCAAAATGAATAACACACACAGATGGATAAGCCACTATTACAGTCTACTAAAGGAGATAGACGTAGACAATTATTTTAGCAAAATATAACCCTACCTTATGGAGCTGTCAATATATTAAAAAAGAAAAAGTAAGAAAAATGCGCGGCACACCACTGAATACATAGTACATACTCATTTACTGTTACACAATTATTAATCAGGAAGTTATTTAATAGATGAGATCACAAAAGAAGGAACAGCTCCCTGGAGCGTAAAAGAAGACACTAAATCAAGTTCACTGAGGAGGGGGACATTTAAACTGAACTTAACAAGAGGTAGAATGTTTTCAAGTTGAAGAAGGAGGAAAGGTATTCCAGACAGAGGGAATAGCATGTGCAAAGGCACTGAGATGGCATCGCTCAGAATGTGCAGGGGAGTTCTATGCTCCACCCGGCAGCTATGTTAGGGGTATGGGAAAATGAAGCAGACAAGGAAAAATAGCTACTAATAAAAATAATAGCCCCACCTATGCACAAAGCACTCGAAGTAGCTTAGGTGTAAATTCACTTAATCCTCACAGCAACTGGTGAGGGAGTACTGTGATCACTCGCAGTTAACAGATGAGGAAAAAAAAAAAAAACAGAGAAACAAATGACGTGTCTAAGGGGACACTTAGTGGTGAACCAAGGTACTGACTAGGTCAGTCTGGTTGCGGAACTGGGCTTCCTTTTGCAAGCAGACACGAGGGAAATTGTAAGTGCCACAGAAGAATAGAGATGAGTTAGACACTATCTCAATAAATCATGGTCATGGTGTGACCCAGGATTAAAAGGTCAATAATAATAGTACCTACATCTTTGGGTTGAAAGAGGATTAAATGACTGAAATCATTTTAAAATAAGGTTTAGGAGGGTGTGGGGCTTGTGGCATCACACCAGGGTCTGCCCTGCTACTGCGATCTGACACTAAATCTTCACCATCGCGCATTTCCTCACAGTAGCGGAGAGGTGTGTTTCAGAATGGCCCAGTTTAAGAAATTTGCAATTAGTAGAATCCTTTCCTGTTGACTGGACTTGCATATACTCTTCTAGATCTCACTTAGTCTGGGTGCCGATCAGAACACATTTATAGACGTATTATTTTATTCTTTGTGAATTGAGGAAAGAAGAGACCAGGGACATGAAACTTGCCTCTGAGCGGCTCCTAAGACCCTCAAGGAGAGAAGCTGGTGATCCCTGGACCATGGAACAGGGACCCAAAGTGAACGCGTCTCTTCTTGTCAAGTTTTACTCTAATTGGAAGCATTATTCATAGAACCATCACCTACACAGCACTGGTGGTGATAGAAATCAGTCCTTGCTGACCAGCAGGACAGCTCGGGGCCAAGAAGCCCACCTGCACAGCTTTCCCTTGGCCATCTGCCTTAAATGGGCTTGTACCGCTGAGCAGGCAGTAGCTAAAATCTAAGAAATGGTCACAGCCAAGGACCTCCTGAGCCACACTCCCTAGAAGTTGTTCTTGGTACATCAAGAGGTCCCCCGATTTGCTCCTGTTGTTTCTGAAGCAAAGATGCAAAGATTGTTTTAGTAACACCCCAAAGAATTCTCCAGACAGAACACTTGGTTTAATTGGAATTTAGTTCAAGAGACGTGGCTGGGAGAGAGAAGGGAAGGGAGTTCAATCCAGTCTTTTCCTATCAGCTCCTTTCTTGAAAGCAGAAACACAAGTCACCTCCTGCCCCAGGGGTTGACACGTAGAAGGTGCTTAGTAAAGGCTGAATATTATGTGCTGAATGGCTAGTGAAGTGGCAACTATTATTAAAAACAACAACAAAAGCTTGGTTATTTAATGACTTTTAAATTAAGGAGCAAAAATTACAATTCTTGTTATTGTCAGATAAACCCCTGGGTATGTTCTGAGGCTGTATTAAGCAATAATCATATCAGGAAAAGACAGGTTGTAGGCAGAAACAACCACTTTATTGTTTGTTCAACTTGGGATTTACTGAAGACTGACTAACCTATTAATCGTAAGGAATGGGGTGGGGATGGACTAAGAGATTTTAACTCTCTTCCACAAACCTCACCGAAAGCATGGTTTGAATTTACAAAATATGCGTGAAGAACGGCATTCAGAAACTGCTCTGGCCTGTAAACAAGATAGAAAGAGGCAGATTCTTTTCTCTCTAGTCCCAGGGTCCCATGCAATCACTGCCCCAGTGCAGAACAGCAGACAGCCTACCTACAAATCATTTTCACTTACAGGATATTAAAGAACAACGTGGTACAATTCTGGGCATTCCCCCCCTCTTTTGCTACAACCACGATTCTCAAACTGGGAGGTCACTATCTATTTAGAACTAATGGGCTCTTCATAAACTGAAAATAATGATGTATTAAACTTCAACAAAACCAAATACGATATTTAAGTGTGAACTAAACTATATGTATGCCACACGAACATCCAAGGTGTGAAAAAATCTTGTGTAAAAACTATTTATCATTTTAGAGTCTATTTTTTTCCTTTGAAAATTGGGAAAACATCGTGATTGTTTGAAGCTAGCTAGCTTCGGGCTGTCAGTTTTTAGGGAGTGTACAATCTGCGTACCGCTATCCTCATGCCAGCCAGCACACCCGTGGACCTCACAGACAGGATCTCAAGATTCTGTGGGGTAAAGAAGGCAGGATCAGAAATGTCTGTTCAAGGGGCAGCATAGAGGAGGGTCTTCAAAATGTTCACGGAAAATGCATAATATGAAAAACTATGGATTTCCAAATGCTTGTACAGCAAAATAAATGGGCACACTAATCCCCTTTTTCCCATGAACTGGTAAAATTCCTCATGGTACTGTAATTTCACTGAGTATTCTTGCCCATCTCGAGGGAGCAAGTAAAGTAGAATTAATGACAAAAGGTGTTTTCTTTTTTTTTTTTTTTTCCTGTTTGGCAGTAATTCCTCATCCAACAATCCCCCCAGTTCCCCACCGCTCTCTCCTCCCCTGGGTTTTTCTGGGGCTGCTTCAATGCTGACCTACTTGCGTCTGTCCTTCTCCCAAGCTACCAATGGACTAGGGAGATGTCTCAATAGTGTCTTGGTAGGAAGAAGAACTTGAATAGACCTTTCTTTCACAAGGACTCATCTTGGTTCCCTGGTCTACATATCTGAGCACTCAATTGACTTCATAGTGGTGGAAAACAGATAATTTTTTTTTTCTTTTTTTTGGAGAGGATTTTGCTATAGGGCGCGTGGGCACGCCAGACAGACAGAGAGAGGCAGAGAGACAGAAAGAGAGAAATCACCCCCCACCCCCAGAGAGGATGGCCACGCTCTGGATCTTGGGCATGCATGCACATGCAAGTGGCGTGAGTTTAAACCACCAGGTCCAGGACTCATGGGAGTCCAGCGACATAGCTATTACGCTAATTGCTGGCCCCAAAACAGGCCAATTCTTAACCCAGGTAAATTCGGGACCAGGCAAAAGCTGTCCTCTTTGAACCGCAAAGGAATCCATCTCCCCAACCCTCTTAGGTGCCTGCCTCTCCTCAGTCTCCTTTTGGAACCTGCAGTTCAGACACCTGAGGGCTATTAAGACTGGCCATGTTGACAGAGCCCAAAGCGTGAATTCAGTTATTTCATGCTTGGGAGACTCTCCTCAAGAAAAATGCATTGATGGACACGCC